ATGATGAGTGTTGATGATGACGAGTGCTGGCGACGCGGTGTTGACAATGACGATGCTGATGATAATGAGCGGTGAGAATGAGTGAGTGATTGATTGAATGAGTGTCTGAGTGAGTGAATGAGTGTGTGTGTGTGGGGGGGGGTGTTCCTCTTCCTGTTCCTGCGCGGGGTGTCATGAGAAAACAAGAACCCACTTTGGATGTGGGGAAAAACGTTATATTGGACCAGTTGCCTTAAGACAAACGCTCCCGCTTTAAACTTTTCCGTCGGCGGGGTTACGACAGGGACGACGCAGGCGGGCGCGGGATCCCTCGGCGGTATTGTGACAAAACGACCCCGCGCACGGGCGGGGCGCCCACCGGCAAGAACCCCCCGAGCCGCCAGCCCGCGCAAGAACGGGAGGGGCAGCGGCCCCAGGCGCCCTCCGGCCGAAGACCTGGAGCGCCGCGAGCCAGCGCACGGGGCGGCCGCGCGGCGGCCACAGGCGACGACCGGCCGAAAGCCTGAAACCGCCAGCTCACGAGTTGGAAGCTAAGGCAAGGAACTGCCAGGTGCAAGTACAGTAGGGGCCCGACCACAAGAAGCCTTCCACAAGGAACCCAACCCTGAGGCCCCAGGACAGCCGTAGATTTTGGGTGCGGGAGCGTCACGCTTTCCATGGCAAAACCAGCGGATACCGAGAAACCCGGGGCACCCTGGAGGCAAGCAGGGTGTTTCTTGGCATGGCTCTCCACAAACCCAGCCCTGAAACCCGTAGGCGCGAGATGCAAGTGGGGGGAGCCCTGGGCACCCTGAACGCAGAAGCTCCTTCGACGGCCACGGGAAGCCACCGCGCAGCGCGCGGAGCGAAGAAACCCAGGGTACCCTGACGGAAAGAAGTTCGTATCTTGATGCGCGTCCCCACTGTACCGTCGGTGTGGGAACGTCACCCTTCCCATAGCAAGACCCGCGAGCCCCAAGAAACCCAGGGCACCCTGGAGGCGAGCAGGATGTTTCCTGGCATGGGCCTCCACTGTACTGTCTACAGTTGTGGATGTCACGAAAATGAACACCCTAACAGTCCTAACGAAATGTAGGAAACATGTTCTAAACATGTTCTAAACATTTTAAAACGTGTTTTAAAAATGATACCGGAGACAACAAAAAAAAAACAATCAGGGCTATAGGGCTAGGGGGCTTCAGGGCTTTAGGGCTATTGAGCTGTAGGGCTATAGAGCTATAGGGCTATAGAGTTGTAGGGCTATAGGGCTATTGGCCTATTGGGCTATTGGGCTATAGGGCTATGTAAGGCTACAGGGCTTAGGGCTAAAGGGCTATAGGGCAACCCCGGGCACCCCCGGGCACCCCCGGGCACGCCCGGGCACCCGGGCACCCGGGCACCCCCGGGCACCCCCCGGGCACCCAGGCCCCGTGCACCCCCGGGCACCCGGGCACCCCCGGGCACCCGGGCACCCGGGCGTGCAGCGAAAATCGGCGACAAACCTAACCTGACCATATGAATCCGCTAGGACCCCTACAGAGGCAAGCTCTGATTGGGGAATGTTAAGACATGTGTTAGACATCTGGACATTATTTGGCAGCATGCTTCCTCTCCAATAGTCGTCCATCACAAGTCAACAGACGGGACACGCATGCTGGAACGAGCAGCAGCGTGGCAGTCGTGAGCGTCCAGCAGGCACACGAAGCGACCAGGAGAGCCCAGGACCGCCCAGGCGCCAGCATCGGAAAGCTCAGCGGCTGAGGCACACGGAGCACCAGCCACAGGGCACCACGGCACCACGACGAGAGAAATCCTCCTCCTCCCCCTCCTCCTTCTCCTCCTCCTCCTCCTCCTCCTCCTCCTCCTCCTCCTCCTCCTCCATATATCCGCCGCCTCCTTCTCCTTCTCCTCCTCCGCCTCCTCCTCCTCCTCCTCCTTCTCCTCCTCCCGCCCCCCCCCTGGTCTTCGTCGATGTCTTTCAGGGTCGGCGGCACCCACCGTCAGGCCTTCACAATCTCAACTACTAAGGCACACGGAGCACCAGCTATAGGGCACCACGGCACCACGACGAGAGAATTACGTGAATACTGGGCAAACCCACAAAGCACCACCCATGGGGCACCACGGGAAGAAGGCGCAACAGAAAGAAATCGCAGCGACTGAAGCATCGCTGGACACAAAAGCAAGAGCAGCACCAAAACGTCATAGGGGCACCAGCCGTAGCCAATGCGGCACCACGGCATCAACGTCGCGACGGCTAAGGCATCAAGAGGCACGAGCCACGGGGCACCACGCATATAGGGTACCAAGGCAAGAAAGATAAGCCACAAGAACAACAAATAAGGCATCGTAGGGCAAAAGTCATAGCGCACAACCTGTAAGGTACCAGGGCCAGAACGAGAAGGTCGCGAGAATCAAGGCGCCATAGAGCACCAGCCATGGCGCACCACCCGAAAGGCACCAGGCCAAGAACGAGAAACGCACGACGAGGACATCATAAGGCCCCAGCCACCAAGCACCCTCCACCAGGCACTAGTTCACCATAAGGTATCGCCAGGGGCAAGAACGGGAAAATCGCAGCCGCCAGTTCATCGCAAGGTACCAGGTATAGCGCTCAACCCATTGGGCACTAGGCCAAGAGCGAGAATATTGCAAGCCTCAAGGCATCACCCACCACATGGCACGACCCATAGAGCATCACGACAAGAGCGAGACTCGCGATAATTCAGGCACGGTAGGGCAAAATCCATGAAGCACCACCCAACAGGCACCAGGGCAAGAACGAGAAGCTCGCATTAGTTCAGTTGAGACATCAGGGCACTAGCCATAGGGTACCACCCATCGGGCATCAGGGCAAAAACGAAAAAAACGCAACAGACGAAAAAACCTCGGGCACCGGCTATAGAGCACCACCGTCAGGGCACCAGAGCAGGAAAGCGCAACAAGAACGCCAACGCCCTTCTGGTACAAGTGAGAAGCGCTCAATGGGAGCACTGCGTGGGGAACAAAACACAAAGAAACATAAATCGTGTGGGTAAGGTCCGAGGAGAGGCGGTTATGATCGCGTTCAGCAGCGAAGTGGCCATTCCCCTTCCCCCCATCGTACGCTTTTGGACGGGCACCCCCGCGAGCGATCAGAGCGTCCACGATTGACCCGAATGGCTCCAAGGCGACTCCGGGCAGCACAAGATGGCCTCCAAGATGGCACAATCATGCCCGAAATGGCTCAATTTGTCATCCATACTGTCTACAGGAGCCCTAAGATTAAACCAAATGGCCGGGTAGCCGAAGAGACCAAAAAACCGCATTATAAATGTTTAGCATATGCGACTCTTCGGCATCTCACAGCGTCTAAGACGGCCCAAGAGGCCCCCAAGAGGGCCCCAGGAGGGAGGGTCCAGGAGGGGGAACTCGAATTGAAGCTTCGAGCCCGGCGCCCCACAGGGACCACCGAGACCGCCAGCAGGCCCCCTAAAAGGCCCCAAGCGGTCTCCCAGAGGCCCCCAAAGGCCCCCAAAGGCCCCCAGAAGGCTCCCTGGAGGCCCCCACAAGCGTCCCGACTGGCCCCAGTACCTCTGACCTCGAAGCTCACAAACGAGCGCGAGCCATAGCCGTCCCGACCCGATCATGTACCGAGCCGAGGAATGAACTAGTACGGCGACGGTCAGAAAGTCAATACCAAAAGGAAGGGGACGATGCTTGCCTCTTGGAGCTCTCTTGGGAGGGCTCCTGGAGGCCTCTTCGGGCGTCTTGGAGGCCTCTTGGGCCGTCTGGAGGCCATCTGGAGCGTCTTTTGGACCGATCGCTCGGCAACTCGGAGCCCTCTTGGACAGTCTGAAGGGCCCCTTGGACCCATCTTGGCCAGACTTGGGGCCCTCTTGGGGCACTCTGGGGCCGTCCTGGGGCCCTCCAGGGGCGCTCTGGACACTGCCCTGCCCGCGCGCCAGAGACTAAGCTAGATCAGTTTCTCTTTGAATAGAAATACCCATTGCATTTGCAAAACTATATATATATATATACATACGTATATATATAACGAAATCACACATCATGCACATAAATACATACATCTAGACCTGCTAATGTATATTTCGATAGAGAGAGGTAAATATAATTTGTAAGTATGTTGATGTGTATATACACATGTACGTAGATAAGACGGATAGAGAGAGAGAGAGCGCGGAAGTGAGAGAGAAGGAGAAAATGCCGTTGCTGGATCATGTGTGCAGCGTCGTACTCTCGCTGTTGATTGGCGATTGAAGCCGCAAGGTGGCTCCAAGATCGCCCAAGAGAGCCTCAAGAGGGGCCATGAAGGGCCCCAAATCGCCAATAAAGGCCCCAGAGAGCGACCCAAGAGCACGTTATGAAGGCTCCAAGGATGAATTGATCTGGCGCAAAAATCAAAACGATAGTCGACACGATCCGTTCTTCAAACACACATTTAATCACTGGCACACATACGATTGCTGAAAGTGGTGGGTGTCCAAAGCGCATCTTCTGGAGGCTTTGGGGCCAAGATAGTTCCACGATGGTCCAGATACTCTAAGATGGCCTCCATCATGGAAGCAGATACCCCAAGATGGTTCAAGAAGGCCCCCAGCATGCCTCCAAGAGGCCCCGAGGCGGCCCCAGGACAGCTCCAGGTGAGCACGGAACCTCCCATGGATACCACCGAGGGGCTAACATCCTGCAACAAAAACGTACGGTCGTTGAATGGTGCGTGCCTTCCCCCCTTTTCTTCCGATGGGCTTCTGGGCCTCGAGATGGCTACAAATCGCCCAAGAGAGCCGAAAGAGTAGCCAAAAAGGGCTCAAGAGGGGCATCGCAAACTGAAGCCGCTCCGACGTTTGATGGATGCATTCCGAGATAGCCCCAAGAGGGCCCTCACCAAAGGTCCCAAAAGGGGCCCAAAATAAGCCCAAGACAGACCTAAGATGGCCCCAAGGAGCCTCCCAGATGTTCCCAAATCGAAAGTTCTGCGACGGTATTACTACGGCTGCCCTCCCAGCTTCGTTGTTCCACTGCATTCTCCTACACTTCCCTGATCAAGACAACTCGACTGAGAATCACGCTCGGATTGGCTGGCTGGTGGGGAGTCGCGGAGCGTCAATAGTTCCCCTCAACTTGTCCCAGGCCCCAGGCTCCCACAGCAGTTTTGTTCGGCAAGCCACGGAAAGAGTCCTGTGCCTGAACTCAAAGCTCCCGTCGGCGAATGACTTGCCAACGATGGACTCGCCGCCTACGAGACCATCTGCTGCGCCCTGGCACGGTGGTGGCTGACCACGCGCGTGCACGAGGGCTTGATGTGACTGTCCTGTAAGCGAGCCTCCTGATCCTTGAACTCGCGCATCTTCGCCTCATCGCCAGCATTCTCGCACGCCCGAGCCAGCGTGCCGTAGGTGGCGGCGTTCGGCACCACGCCCCTGGACTGCATCTCCTCCAGCAGCTGCACTGCCCTCTCTGCCTTCTTGCTGGCGGCCCAGCAGCTTATCAGACCGTTGTAGGCGATGACGTCGGGCTCGAGCCCGCTGGCCTGAGTTTCGTTTCACCGATCCCCATCCCAGCGGCGTGGCCTGGGCCCCACTGGCCGATTTACCCCCCTAGATGGGGATATGGGCCGTTCGCTTCGGGTTTCGAGGGGTGTATCCCCAACTGGGGTGGTAATTTGGTGGGGGTCTCGGAGGGGATGGGGATGGGGATGGGGATCGGTTGAACGATACCGATGGCCTCCATCTCCCGGAACAGCTCCTCGGCACGCAGGGGCCAGAGCCGCCTCTCGCAGGCGGCGATGAGGGCGCTGTACGTGCCGGCGTCGGGCACGACGTTCGCCTCCTCTCGGCGGCGCGCGGCGGGGGGGGGGGAAGCGAGGAGGAGGAGGCCTTCTTGGAAGGCGGCGGAGCTTCTCAGAATAGAGGGCAAAAAATCCACCCCCATGATGACCACCCCGACAAGCGAGGCCGTTCACTAGACGCCCCCACTGAAGGAACCGAACAGGGCAGGGCTGTTTAGTGTACGCCCAAGGCCGTTCAGTCAACGCCAATTGTCAGGTCCAAGTGGCTTTTCCTCCCTCGACAGAAGCACTTGCGCCTGCTGAGAGGTGTCCTGCGTCTTCGGGGGAGGCTCAAGAAGCTTCTCCCTGGGCCCGAGGCCTGCCGAGCCTCCTGAGGAGGCCCGCCCCCTCCCACTCCCCCCCTCCCAGGCTCGCCGCCGACTCCTTCATGCTGCGGAAGAGGTCCAGGGCCAGCCCGATGCACACGCCGTTCTTGCCATTCCTGCGCTTCAGGTGACTGCACGCGGAGATTGCCGTGTTGTAGGCGTGGCAGGTGGGCGTCAGCCCCCTGCCCTGCATCTCCTTGAAATAGTCCATGGCTATGGTACAGCCATTGCCGCCGACGCTGATCAAGGTTGCGTAAGTGTCCACGTCGGGGTTCACCTGCTTCTCACTCATCTTCTCGAAGACCTCCGTAGCCTTCCCCGCATCCCCCAGCTGCTCGCAGCAGCGAAGGGCGCAATTGAAAACCATGATGTCCGGCAACACGCCCTCGTCCAGCATCTTCTGAAACAGCCGCAGCGCCTTCTCTGGCTGCCTGCTTTTCTCGCACGATCCGATGACAGCCGCGTAGGCGACGCCGTCTGGCTTGGGCCCCTCAAGAGGCATCTCCGAAAGCTCCGTCAGGCAATCAGGCGCCGGGGCATTGTGGGCTGCGGTGGTGCTCGGCTGCGGTTCCCTCTCGAGCTTGCCCTGGTCGCACGCGCTCCTGACTGCCCAACGCGCGGCGTTGCTGGGTGGCTTGCCCTCGTTCTCCATGGTGCGGATGGCCTGCAGCGCGCGATACAGTGGCTGGCTTCTCCAGCAGCTTTTCAGGTTGTTGTACGCGAACAGGGAAGGCGCGATGCCAGCCTCCTCCATCTCAGCGAAGATGCGGAGGCCCTTCTCGGGATCCTGGCACTTCTCGGCCGCTTGGATCAGGCTGCTGAAGGTGATGACGTTGGGCGTCTCACCAGCCTCCTTCATGGCGTCGAAGATATCCCAGGCTCGCTGCGGGTGATGGCTCTGCCCGCACGCACGGATCAGCGACGTGTAGGTGACGACGTTTGGCGTCAGGCCTCTCTCCTGCATCTCCGCGCACTTTTCCATGGCCATCTCCGGCATCTGCCCATTGCTGCACGCGCTGATGAGCGCGTTGTACGTCACCACCGTAGGCTCAACGCCCTCCCTTTGCATCGTGTCGAATAGTTCGAGAGCCTTTTCGGGTTGCTTCCCCTTGTCGCAGGCGCTGATCAGTGCAGTGAAGCAGGCCACGTTGGGCGTGATGGAGAGCCGCCGCATCTCCGTCAGCACCTCTAAGGCCTGTTGCCACCGCTTCGCGTGCGCATGATCCATGATCAGCTCTATATCCGCCACCGTGGCCCCAAGCACGAAGTGGAGTGTCCTCAGGTCCCTTAGAGTCCTCTGTAAAGTAAGCAATGACTGTCACGGGCCCGCATCCCCGAGTTCCGGGCGTTCCCAAGAGCGTTTAGGTCTTGGCGCGTGCTGCCGCTGGACACGTTAGGATGCAAGGGGGCCCCAACAGTGGCCAAGGCCACCAGGAGGCCCCCAAGACGGCATAGGAGGGCCCCAAAACGGACGGAGATCACTCCAAAACGCCCGAGATGGCCTCCAGACGGCCCAAGAGGCAACCAAGACGTCCGAAGAGGGCCCCGAGAGGTCTCCTAAGAGGGCCCAAGATGCCAAAATCCGCCGACCCTGTCGGCGTGTGAAGAGACTGTTCCGTTTGACTCGTCGTCGTCGTCGTCGTCGTCGTCGTCGCCTTCGCCGCTTGCTTCCCTCCTCTTCCCTAGGCCCGTCACCGTTCCCCCCACTTTCACTGGGTTTTCCTCCTCGAGCGCGCCAACCACAGCGAAATTGAGCAACGTTGTAGTTGAGACGAAAGGACGCCCCTTCCGTTCGATCCCTTCCACGCCAGGGGGGGGGTCCCGGGGGTGAGGTCCCCGGGGGGGTGTCCTGGGGGGGTCCTGGGGGAGGGGTCCCGGGGAGGTCCCGGGGCAGATGCGACTCCCCCTTGGGCGGTTGGGAGGCCAAGAAAAGCCGCAGGACGCGGCAAAACTGCCCCAAGATGCCCCCAAGACCATCCTCGACGGCCCCGAATCGCCGAAATATCCGCCCAAGTCGCCAAAGTAGCCTCCAGACGGCTCAAAAGGTTTCCAAAACGCCCCAAGAGGCCTCAGACTTCCAAAAGGAACCCAAGGGGCAAAGATCATCGATTTCCCGTAAATGTTTGAAAAATTTCGGCGTTCTCGCCTTGTCAGCTCCCCGACGCTCCGAGACAGGCCAAAAAAAACCAAAAGACCGTCCCAAATGGCCCAAGAGGCCTCCAAGAGAACACCAAAACGACCCAAGAGCGCCCCAAGACCGACCAAGAGGCCTCCAAGACAGCCGAAGAGGCCCCCAAGACGGCTCCAAAGAGGAGCCCAGACGGGGGACCCGAACGGACAGTCCAAGTCCTCGGCCTGAGAAGCTCTCACGAAGCCCCCAGAGGTCCCTAAAGAAGCCCCCCGAACAGCCCCAAGAAGTCCCCAAGAGACCCCCAGGAAGCCCCAAGAAGCCCCCACGAGGCTTCCAAGGCGGCCCCCAAGGGCTCCCCAAGAGGCCCCCAAACTACCCCCCAGAAGCCCCCCGAGAGCGCTCGTCGTCGTCGTCGCCATTTAGGGTCGGCGGCACTGGCCGTAAGGCCTTCGAAATTCACCGGCCAAACGGGCCAGAGGCGTGCTAAGATCTCCGGCAACTGCTAAATAATACTTCTACTTCGCGCGCGCGGGCCGGCCCCTGGGGGTCCCCGGACGAAAAGTACCCCGGGCGATCCCCGGCAGACTCGGGTCAGACTGGGCGCCGCCCCCGTGGCCCTCCAGAGAGCCCCAAGAAGGGCCACGAGGCCGCCAAGAGCCCTCCAAGATGGTTCAAGAGTGCTCCGAGATGCCACACGATCGTTCCAAGACGCCCAAGATGGCCCCCAAACGCCCCAAGAGGCCTCCAAGAGCACTCCCCAGAGGGCCCCAAGAGGCAAAATTCCTTACTTTTCCTTAGGTTTGGGTAGATTTTGGCGTGTCCATCTTTTCGGCTTCCCGACGCCCCAAGACGGCCCAAGAGGCCCAAGATCGCCCCAAGAGGGCCCAAGAAGCTCCCAAGAAGGCCCCAAGATGGCCCAAGAGGGCTCCAAGACGGCCCCAGAGGCATCCAAGACGGCCCAAGAGGGGCCCAAGAGGGCCCCAAGCGATGCCCCAAAGGGGGAACACAAAACAAAACTTCGAGCCCTCGGCCTTAAGAAGCCCCCAGGAGGCCTCAAGAGGCCCCTGAGAGGCCCCAAAAGCCCCCAAGAGGCCCTCAGGAGGCCCCCAAGCGACGCTGAAGAGGCCCCCCAGCGACCCCAAGAGGCTCAGTCATGCGAAATGGGCCGGCGGAATGAGCGAAGCGATTCAATAATCAATTCCTGTGAGGTTATTGGATTTGTTTAGCGTCCTCGCCCTTTCAAGTTTCCGACGCTACAAGACGAGTTCGAATAGATGTGCCACGCCATTGTGATGACGGTGGCATGGCGGAGGTAGAGGTAGAAGATGGCGACGGGATGTGATAAGAACCCTTTCATCATTCCCGGCGCCACAAATAGAGCGCAAGCAGAGTCGCCAACGCTGGCAGAGAGGGCGGCACTGCCTTGAGCCGGGACGGCAGCTGATAGGCAAGCACGTCATGCCCCCCTCAAAGTCGAGGGAGGAAAGACGCATGATCGCTGCTGTGCCTGCATTCGGCCCAAGGCAGCAATTTAGGTACAAGGTAAGCGACTGGCTCGATTACCACAGTTGCAACGAGGCAAACAACCAAGACGAGGATGCGAAGCACTGGGTCGCGCTTCCATGAACCAGCCAGGCTGGAACCAAATGCAACAGGGCAGAGGAGCTGAATGAATTCCCGAAAAACGCCCATGGAGCTGACCCCGCACCAGGCAGACAGATGGTCAGCGTCGCATGTCCGCGCCACTAAAGCCAAGCAGGGGCTTAAGTTCCCAACATAGAGCTGGCTAAAAGAGCGCGGCCACGCGCCCACTTCCAGGCAGTCGCGGCCCCACGACACAAGATAAGCAAGAAGAGCGCGGGCACGCGCTCATTCCATGCGGCCGCGGATCCACAAGAGCTCTGATTGGGGCCAGGGAAGAAGGCCCCCCCCGCGCAACTCGCGGCCACAGATGAGCAACCGATCCCTCGGACCTCAGGGCCCCCACAAGACGCTTGAACAGCAGCGGCCCCACGAGTTGGCAATGGGCGCACTGCAACGACATGGCGCAGATGACTTGATTTCGCGCGCGCAACTCCAGTATCCAGCCATGGCCTCTCTAGGAGCAAGTCACATCCGATAGAGCCCTCAGCGCGCCCGTCCGCCGTCACCTCCTGGGCGCGGCACCACCGCGCGCCATGCGCGACGCCGAGCTCCAGATATTGTTTCAGCCAACCTATATGGCCCAGCAATGACTTTTCCGCAGGTGTCTCCAGATCCTTGCTGGAGAGATACTCGTAGACGGATTCAGCATCAATCGCACGGGATGTCCAACTCGCTCACGAGGACGTTTGGGCCGCGAAGGGGTCAAGGGGGTCAAGGGACCCCTGGTTGTATCATGCAGCGCCACTAAGGTGGCATAGCACTCATCCACACTGCGGGGAGCTGCAAGTGCCTGAACAGCGCAGCTGGACCGAACTTGGAGGCGACGGGACTTTCGCGGGCCGCCAATACAAAAGATACCCACACACACACACACACTTCGCGAATCCACGACGCAGCAAGTGGCATCCGCGAAGACTCGAGCCCATCCCGCCCTCGCCCTCTTCTCCGGTGAGCTTTCGGTAGCCAGTCGCTGCGTAGGTCCACCTTGCCGCCTGTTGCCATCGCTAGGTAGGTTACCGCCGTGGCGTCTCGTAGCAATTTGCGAGCAAAGGCATCAAGACGTCTCACCTGGAGCCTCGTCGGTGCTCGGATGCGCTGCAGTGGCACAATACACCCCATAATCCAGAATCGGGCAAGAGCGGAATAGGCAAGTGCACCTCGAAGACTGACGAACATGTCGCTGACAGTATTGCTAGCCGTCGCGACTGGTGATGCTCAGACAAGTGACGCGGTCGTCTTGATGCATCATCACGTGGCCCTTTCCCGCCCCGGTAGAATGCACTACGCACAGTTCATGTATGCACGCAAATTAAGCTTGCACTTCCCAAGCACATGTTATCATTTGTGTACACACGAGTCAATGTTAGCCTCCATGTCGCATGCTAATGTCGCCTACGTGTTTGGCAGTAAGCAGATCTGGTGCAGCTTCCAATTCTGGGGGGCGCATGACATTGTTTTGAGACCGATGCTCTCTGTGGCCCTCTTGAGCTCGAAGAAGAAGGCCCGCGGAGCGTCCGTTGTGCCAGCACCAGGCTTGAGACATTTGAGACAGCGACGAAACGCGCCATAGTCTTCAAACCCATGCAGCGCGCGCTGGACGGAAGTACTTCCAGGAGGTAGAGTACAAAATGCAGGACGTGCCTGTTCCCCCCCACTCCTGCTAGTTCTGGGCCGGTTAGGCCCTTGAGGAAGACTCTGTCCACGCACAGGCCGGCGAGGACCAAGTCTTCGTGGCAGGCCGCCTCGCTGGCGAGTTATCGCCGCGAGGTGAGCGCGGCCGTGCCTGAGAAGGTCTCAACGGGGAAAAAACGGATTGGACCACGAAGCCTCTCAATATTAGAGGGAACCGGATAAGTATTCCAGATGACACGTTGGGCGCTGGACAAAATTACTCGGCAAAGCATCGGTTCTCAAGCAGTTCGGCTGGAAGGGCGCTTGATAGCTGCTTAGGAAGACTCAGAATGTCCTACTTGGCCAACAGGCCATCCTCTTTCACGACAACAGCAAATTTGCTTCCCGCCTAAACGCAAACGCGCACTGTAGCTAGCTCGTCGGGGCGCATGGCATTGAAGTTGGGGCCCAGCCAAGACCATCTTGGCCACGTCCCCAGAGAAGCGTAGCTCGGCGCACTTACCGATGATGTCGGTGCCGTGGTCGTTGTAGACATCTGCCGCTTCGCAATTAAGCACATCGATGGCCATCGCACGGGCGCCCAGGCTATGGTGTGAGAAAAACACATCGCCCTTGATATGTTCACGAAGATATACGGTGACATTATTGAACATACTGGCATCATGCTCATGCTATACAACTACTGCGTTGACGGGCATGAGAGGCGAAGGGGCCACATAGAAGTTAAAGCTGCTCTGCCAGGGTTTACGCATCGATGCACTACTGCCGAATGTCATGCATGTCCTCTCCGTCGTCGATTGTGGACAGACGGCCAGCACTTCTCCCGGATTCCATGGGGGCGCTCAGGGGTTCGCGCCCCCGCCGTCATCACTTTCCTGAGGACCGTCGGCTAGGTCAGGGAATCTTGA